AGTAAGCCTCCTTTTTGGCAAGGAGACATTCCCGGATGTTTTTAGTGAGCCATGGAGGCTTATATGCTCTCCTGCCCCCTTTGACCCTCCTGGGGATTACCTTCCTCTGGGCTTGGAGGATCGTCTCCTTAAAGAGTGACCACTCCCCTTGGACACCTGGCTCCCCTCCCCTCTGAGACTTCAGCGCTTCTCCAACTATCTTCCTTAGCTTGTTGAAGTTCGCCCTCCTAAAGTCTAGGGCCACCACCTGACTGCTTGCCTTTGCTACCTTGCGCTGAATGGTGAATTCTAGCAGGCAGTGGTCACTGTCGCCCAGGGGGTCAAGCACCTTAAAAAGGAATTTGCTTGTGTTTAGTTTGGCGTCACATTTCTGCTATATAAGGAGCAAAATATTACTAACAGCAACTCTCATGATCTCTATCTAGCACCACAGATCAGAATCCCCTGCCATTCCCCAGCTCATGCTATGAGATTACATCATTAGATTTGTACTTTGCCAAGAGACTTACTGCTTACGATTCTTACTTGAAATGGCTCCGGAGCTGCAGGTTTCTTGGGACAGGATTGAACGTGTATGGGACAAAGCTGACATGCTGTAGGAATTCTGTCCTGATGGATTTTAGGGAAGGGATTGGCCTGGCTGGCAGTTGAGACTCTTTTTCCTGATGTGCTTTCAGTGCTATTATACTCTCTGCTAGAGATTCTATGGAGAAAGCATAATTATTATATTGCATTAGATATCATGAATTTATTTTCAATTTCCCTTAAGCAAAACACACAGCTGCTGAATTTCCCCCATTCCTGACTTAGATGGTGGGGAAGGGGTGTATGACTTGCCCTGGTGTAATTCCATCAGAGACAGCAGGGTCACACCAGATGTGCACTGGTGTAATGGGGAACAGAATGCATCCACCTCCATTTGTACTAATTTTATGACTATTTTTAAGCACCATTATTTGCACTCTCCCCTGTGCTAAGGACAGCCTCTTCTTCCTGCATATAAAATCCCTTCTGTGTTCCGGCCCCAAACCTAAAACCTCCTATATCCTTGACTTGGCTTTCATGCCCTATTGGCTCCAGGTCCAAGGCAAGGGGAAAGAAGAACATTCCCTTGAGAGCCCTCCTCACTTCCCACAATACCTGGCTTCCCTTAGGGGTCTGATCCAGCTCACCTGTTTATCTCGTGAGCTCTAAGCAGATCAGTATGGATGGTATGCCTATGTTATCATCAAACTTCTGCTATAATGACATAAGAAACTCCTTTGAATATGTTGGAGGAAGGTGGCAAACATCTGGAAGTTCACACCCTCTCAATGCAAACTGGAGATCTAAAACCTTCCTACTAATTCCTACTTCCTACTAATGCAGATGGTCTCTTGCAGGATGGTGAACATTGTGTGTTGCCATTATAGTGAAACATAATGTAGTACTCAGGCCCTTGCTGGTCCAGGTTATATATAGGTAGCAATGACTTTTTTGTGAAATTCTTTGAGAGAGACATTGCTTTGTAACACACTTAACACATCATAAAACCCTGCGCTTTTTCCTATGGTTAATCTCAAACTGTTAATGTCGCTAAGGTTTTTCTGATGAATTATTGTTTGCACAGCACTTTGAAAGACTGCCAGTCCCTACAGAAGCGCTAATAGACCTAATGAGCATTATTAAGCTCTGTATGGAAAAAAGAAGAATTGCTGCGTCATTACAATCTTCTGGTGCATGTGTCAATGCTGCTGACATTTTTTATGCTTCAGCAGCTTGATAGCAGCGAACGGTAGTGTATGAATCAATTAACAAGCTGTACTTATTTTTAATGCACGGATAAGTTTATGAGCCACATCTCCCCAGCATCAACCTGCTTGGCAGAAAAAAAAAATGCTAAATAAAAGTACAGTCATTCTAAAAATAGAATTAATCATCAATTGCTGTGTTGCCCTCGCACTGGATAGACATTGTACAAATTCAGATAAAGAATTCAAACAGCAGAGGAGATGCTATAGGGAAAATATCACAAGGCTTGTACTCTAGTTTAAACCAATGGTTCTCAACCTTTTTTGTACCAGGACCCATTTGTAAACATCGATGGCCAGTCCCGACCCAGTGCCCCTCACTCCCGACTCGCTGCCCCCAGGCCCCAGCCCCCCAGCGTGTGGGGTGGAGGGGAGCGTGTGTGTGAGACATGGGAAGCCCCCAAGCTGCCCCTTGCAGGCTGGAACCCTGCCTGCCTGCCTGCCAGGGAAAAACCAGTTTCCCATGATTTTCTCCTTTAAAGGAGGATCCATTTTTAAAGTTTGTTCACCACCCTTGCATATATTCTTGTGACCCACTTTTGGGTCGTGACCCACAGGCAGGGCCGGATTAATCCTTTAGTGGGCCCTAGGCAAACAAACTTGTAGGCCCCTACTTTTTTCACTCAATAATTATAATATGTAAAATAAGCACATCTGGGCCCCTTCTTCACTTAGGGCCCTAGACATGTGCCGAGTTTGCCTATGCATTAATCCGGCCCTGCCTCCGGGCTGAGAAACACTGCTCTAGAGCAGGCACTTTCCAGATGGATGTCCTGCAAAAGACACACACACATACACACACTATGTGTGATTCCCTAGTAAAATGCACACCCCCCATGTGATTCCTTAGTAAAATGCACGCACACATGATTTCCTAGCAAGACACACACAGAGATGCATGTGATTCCCTAGTAAAAGGCGCACACACACACAAATGCACACACTAAATGTGATTCCCTAGTAAAATGCACACGCACAAATGCACACACACGTGATTCCCTAGTAAAATGTGCACCCATGTGATTCCCTAGCAACAGACACACACACTAATGCATGCACACACACTACATGTGATTCCTTAGTCAAGTGCACGCACACATGAATTCCCTAGCAAAAGACACGCACACACTACGTGATTCCCTAGTAAAATGCCTGATGCTCCCAGGGTCTCGGTGAGCAGCTGCACTGGATGCTCGTCGAGGGAGAAGGGGGCAGGCCGCGCCCCCCTGTCCCGGCTTCTGCCCCGGCTCGGGGCCCGCCGAGGTCCGCGCCCCTCAGGCAGTCGCAGCGAGGCGGCCTCCAGCCCTTGCCGCAGCTGCCACCCCGCTCCGCGGCTGCTTTTGTTCCGCACGCTTGTTTGTGTTGTCAAGGCTACCCTTCTTTCCCGTTGCCAGGTGACCCCCGACGTCATAAGGGAAGGAACGCTTGCGTCACTTCGGTGCGCTCTTGCAGACGGAGCGGGCGGGGCTGCTCGCACCCCCTTCTTTCTGCTGGCTGGGCCCGGGGTCCTTCTCCCTCGAGTCTAGGGAGCATTTTCATGAGCAGACCGGGCTGTTGCTGAGCAAGCATGAACCACATCACTGCAGTGATCAGAGAGAGGGGGAGGCATCATCTGTAGGAAGCCAGAGCAGAAATCCTGGGGTCCTGTCTTGATTGTTGTGTTGTCTTTGAGATATAGGCTTCTCTTGCCTCAGTTTCCCCATCTATATCACATGAGTAAGCAAATGTAGAGCTTAAAGCAGCCTTTATGCGAAGGGCTCATATAAAATCAATTACATTAGAGCAAAATATTCTGCTTATTCATTTCTAAGAGTGTATTGGTATTGGAAATATATAGGAACAAAGGCATATAGGGGGTTTTTTTGTTCTTGTTTTTGAAGGAGGATTTGGGGGGTCTTATGGAGCCTTTGTTTTCTTTTCTTCCATGTTACTCCCAAAGGGACAAAATTAGTTTCATATTTATTAATGTTTTGTGTCGATGACTAGCAATTGAGCTTTCTAAAATAGCTTCTCACGCTGGCAGATTTGCAGATGATTTTGCTTATATGAACATAGCCTATAGTCTACTATGCTATAAATAACTGGAATTTTGTTTAAAGAACAGAAGTTTCCCATTTCATTGTCATGTATGTGATTTCCCGTAATTGCTGGTTACTAAGTATTGGATTTTGTGAACTGTAGTCTATGAGTGATTTGGGTAAAAGGAAGAAGTTGCTTGTAAAGGGAGAAATTTCCATTTCCACTGCACAAAAAATACTTTAACATTCAGCAGGGATGCAGAAAATTACAGGACAATTTAGGACTGTTTTAGTACAACTGTCTTCTATTTGAAAATATCCCAGAATGCTGTAGATGTGAATCAGAAGGGAAATGGCGAAGCCATTTTCCTTTTAAAACAATCAAGGAAGAAATTTGACTTGAACTGCACTTGTGGAAGTGTATTAAGTCACCCAGACTTTGTTCAGAAATACAGATTGATAATGAAACTGCAGATTGACAGCAGTAGTGGTGTGAATAGACGCAGTGAAATGCATTAAATATAGGAATCTAGGAGACGGGAACAGTTATAACTCTAATATCTGGAGTCATTGTTCATGCCCAGCGATGGGAATTCTATAGCTATTGTTCTGTTCCACGCTAGCCTTGCTGAAAGTTTTTTTACTTTATACTACAATGGAGATTCTTTTTTTTTTAAGAAAAAATATTTATACTGTCAAACAGAGCAGTAGGATCTTTGATGTATTTCTGGAAATTTTACTTTTGAAGCCATTTATGAAATATTTGTGCCTCATCCATTTTCCAGAAGCATTTGTGCTTTGCTTTTTTTTTTTTTTTGAGGGCACAGAAATTCACAGATCTTAAGACTAGAAGGACATGAGGAGTCTATTTTTAGCAGCCATTAACTTTGTCAATGAATGAAATAAATTACATGTGCACGTCATGGGGAAGAACCACCCTCGGGACAGGGAGTGTGCAGCTGACCCGCACGGTAGCTTGTTAGTTACTTTCACGTGGGTTCATGGTGGTGTCGTGTGACCACATCTAGGAGCATGTTAAATGGTTGGCAGAAAGGACCATTCCCTTGCTCAGTGAGGGCAGAAGCCTCTCCAAAGGCTAGATTCAGGGTTTACCAGTTGTTATCTAATGGCTGGAAGCAGAATATTTAGCTGACAGGTGTTTTTAAGGAGCATGGGACTGGAGTGCAGAATGTGGGGCTCTTTTCTCTGTTCCTGGACTCACTGGGTGATCTTGGACAGGTCACTTGATGTCCCTTAGTTTTCTCTTCTGTGAAATGGGGAAATCCTCATAGGTGTGAAATTGTTAATTGAGAAATGCTATGAGAGATGAAGTTTATTTTCTACTTATGGGGACTTTTTGCCACCTTTAACTTTCCCTGAGCCTGAGGAAGGGCATGTGTGCATGGAAGCTTGCAGAAAAAGATATTTTTTGGTTGCGATTTCTTAGTTGGTCTAAAAAAAGGTATTGTCTCTGAACCAAGACTTATAGAGTTTTGCGTTTTATGAGAGATGAGAGCCACATACATATCTAGACAGAAGGCTAATAATGCAGCCTTATATGTGTTTCCGGCAAGGGACTTGCCTGTAACTAGTAGATTCCAGGGCAGTGTTTTTTAGTCTTTATCACTCCCATTGATTCTCTCAAAGGGGCTTCTTTATTTTGCTTCTCCCCCTCCCCCCATATAAACTAAAGCCGGATATGTCCTAAGTTAAGTACACAGAAAGGAAAGAACTAAAATAAAAGCCAAATAACCAGCCGGAGAACTGCCGTTCTGTCTATGAGTTGCTGAATTCTGGGTTTCTCCGGATGCCTGGGCATCCCCTAGTATAGCCAGGGGCTGATCACATCTATTTGCAGCTTTCCAAACGCTGACTACAGGCAGTGCTGTCC